CAGTAGAACATGTGGTACTTTACATATGTAAAACACACAAGGGGAATTATATTTATTAAAAATGTTCACTCTGCCCTTGGGTTGTGAATAAGTAATGTTCCAGCTCATTCCCACTGTGACGTGTATAAATCCCTTACCCTCGGTGGGATCACTGGCTTTAAATACATCAGCCGTGTCCTGATTGTGCCTGAAATCTGAGGTAATAAAATACAGAAACAGGAGCAAAGTCCCGGTACAGGCAGGTATAAATAAGTCTAAGAAGATTAAGTTATTATATAACTCAGTAATGAAAGTAACGTAGAACAGCTGAACGTCTAACTTTGAAGTACTTATCTGGATGTGATCACAACATCAGAGGATTTCTCTCACTCACTCTGACACATGCACATGGAGGAAACATTTCTATTTTATTTGTTAGAACTTAGAGGAAAACCACAACAGGGAGAGACGACTCTATAATTGCACGTTTGTCCCTTTCTTCTCTGGATCTCTGGGACCTGTTTTGTTCAGCGTTTTCACAGCGGAGTCCAACAAGAGAAGGGACAAATGGATGAATACAAAGGCCGTGGTTGTTTTGCTGTAAGCATCACACTCACTATCCAAACCGACAAAGACGAGAATATGTCCAAGTAAAAAGTGTGGATTTTTTAAAAGGATTTTCTTCTTGACTTATCATCAACATCAGTGCTGTTGATTCTCTCTGTACTGCTGTGAACCATGCAGAACAAGTCTTTCCTGCAGGCTCGTTGTGAAGAGCCCATAATGACATCAGACTGGGGCGTCATTCTGCTGCTGGCTCTGCTGCTGCTGGCGCTGCTCTACACCTTCCTCTACCTTCCTGCCACAGCCCAGAGAGCCCTGCTGGAGCAGGCACTGAGCAGCAGTAACACCTCCACCACCCCCAGCACCAGCACCACCGCCCGGGAGGACTGACCATCAAGATCAGGACAGGCTGACATGACAGTCAGTCACTGAAGAGATGACGATGTCTAATAATTCTTCAGTGTCCTGCATCGTGGAGCCAATAAATCGTCTATTAAAATTAAATTCTTCAATCGTTTCTTCAGCTGTCAATATCCAACGATCCAGGAAAATGTAATCAGTAGTAGCTGCTACAGACTACTCGGAAAAAATAAGAATATATGGTCAAATATAGGGATGTCCGATATTCACTTTTTCCCATTATCCGATATTATCCAAAAACTTGTATCAACCAATGTGATATATGCAACCGTTTGCAGCAAACCAAAACGGTTTGAATTCACTTATCACTTCAAACCGGAACGTAACCCAGGCACCGCGTTGTCAGTTTTCATTATCAGAGTAAAACCCGATAACGATTCTTACCGATATTGTATAATTATGCCAATATCGGCCTATAAAATCGGTTGGCCAACAATATTGGCGGTGTTGCCGAATCATAAAAAATGTCGGTAAATGTTGCTATGATGAAAATAACACACAATGATATTTACATTTTTTAAGACAATCATGGCGATAACAACAACTAAAAGTCATGGCTGCCTCCTAAAGCACATACGCATGTTGTCCAGTTCCGGTTTTGCTCTGTTCTCACTAAAACATCCGATAATTAACATTACGACGATAAAAATGTTTTATACATAATAATGTACATGAAGTAAATAAAGTCATGGTCATAGACAAACTCACAGAAACACAGCAACAACTGCTTCAACATCCACGTCTCCACTGCGCAGTCGCGGCCCATTCTTCCTTTGTTTTTCTTATACCAAGCTGTATTTGATCAGTAGCGTCGCTTAGTGGTGTGGAATAAGCATGACAACGTCGTTGGATCACAAATACTGTGCTTGGTTTCACGAGCGATCTAAAATAATTACGTCGTTTATTCTTATTTGTATATCAAAAATAATTAATACATATTAGCAATAATATTAACATAGCAGTAGAACATGTGGTACTTTACATATGTAAAATACACAAGGGGAATTATATTTATTAAAAATGTTCACTCTGCCCTTGGGTTGTGAATAAGTAATGTTCCAGCTCATTCCCACTGTGACGTGTATAAATCCCTTACCCTCGGTGGGATCACTGGCTTTAAATACATCAGCCGTGTCCTGATTGTGCCTGAAATCTGAGGTAATAAAATACAGAAACAGGAGCAAAGTCCCGGTACAGGCAGGTATAAATAAGTCTAAGAAGATTAAGTTATTATATAACTCAGTAATGAAAGTAACGTAGAACAGCTGAACGTCTAACTTTGAAGTACTTACCTGGATGTGATCACAACATCAGAGGATTTCTCTCACTCACTCTGACACATGCACATGGAGGAAACATTTCTATTTTATTTGTTAGAACTTAGAGGAAAACCACAACAGGGAGAAACGACTCTATAATTGCACGTTTTTCCTTTTTTTCCTCTGGATCTCTGGGACCTGTTTTGTTCAGCGTTTTCACAGCGGAGTCGGACCTGTTTTGTTCAGCGTTTTCACAGTGAAATGCAACAAGAGAAGGGACAAATGGATGAATACAAAGGCCGTGGTTGTTTTGCTGTAAGCATCACACTCACTATCCAAACCGACAAAGACGAGAATATGTCCAAGTAAAAAGTGTGGATTTTTTCAAAGGATTTTCTTCTTGACTTATCATCAACATCAGTGCTGTTGATTCTCTCTGTACTGCTGTGAACCATGCAGAACAAGTCTTTCCTGCAGGCTCGTTGTGAAGAGCCCATAATGACATCAGACTGGGGCGTCATTCTGCTGCTGGCTCTGCTGCTGCTGGCGCTGCTCTACACCTTCCTCTACCTTCCTGCCACAGCCCAGAGAGCCCTGCTGGAGCAGGCACTGAGCAGCAGTAACACCTCCACCACCCCCAGCACCAGCACCACCGCCCGGGAGGACTGACCATCAAGATCAGGACAGGCTGACATGACAGTCAGTCACTGAAGAGATGACGATGTCTAATAATTCTTCCTGTCCTGTCCTGCATCGTGGAGCCGATAATTCGTCTATTAAAATTAAATTCTTCAATCGTTTCTTCAGCTGTCAATATCCAACGATCCAGGAAAATGTAATCAGTAGTAGCTGCTACAGACTACTAGGAAAAAATAAGAATATATGGTCAAATATAGGGATGTCCGATATTCACTTTTTGTCAATATCCGATATTATCCAAAAACTTGTATCAACCAATGTGATATATGCAACTGTTTGCAGCAAACCAAAACGGTTTGAATTCACTTATCACTTCAAACCGGAACGTAACCCAGGCACCGCGTTGTCAGTTTTCATTATCAGAGTAAAACCCGATAACGATTCTTACTGATATTGT